GTATCCAATCTTGAGCTCTGAAGGGCTTCCTTCTGTTCCTGAGGCCATGGAGTAAAGAGCAAGGGTGGAAGGAAGTGGGTGCAAGTCTTGTCCTAAGGATTATGGGATGATGAAAGAACTCAGAAGTAGCTGGACCTGCATCCAGGAAACTTCAAGTGGTCTCACCTCATCCAGGAAGCTTTCTTTCACTCACTCTGACTCCTTTCACTCAAACCTCTGTCAGGTATGTGTGGAATTGCTGAATGTTGGGGCCAGAAGGGATGCTAGCCATCACCCTGTCTGGCATCGGCCTGGAGACTGGGCGTGCTGGCTGTGGGGGTACTTGGAGTATAGCTATAGCCCCTCTGTCTCTTGAGCTCACACGGCCTGCCTATTATCCTGCTTTCTGCCAGGACCTCTGCTTCCTGTGGGGGCAGGTGCCAGTAGCCCAACTTGAAGAAAGTTTCAGATCTTGGAAGGCTCTTAGCTCCATACTTCTCCAAAGGAATCCAAGAGGGATGGAAGCAAATTAGGCCAGAATGTTAGAATGCTATTATGATAGACAATGGGATATGAGAACCACATGATCCTAAAACAATAGGATGCTTGGGTCAAAGGACTTTGCCATGTCAGAAGTTAGAATTACTTTCAGATTTTAGCATGTGAGGGTTATAGGATGTGCGATAACCTGTGGCAACCTCTGGCTCTCAGAGTTCGACATGAATGACCTTAGAGGTCTCCCTTGAGTCTGGCTATGTCTCCAGCCCAGCCTTGCCAGTTATGACATTACTCATTCTGTTTCAGGCTGCAAGATGGTTGCACAAGTAAACACGTCCTGAGAAAGCCCAGTTCCCTGGAGCTAGGGACACAGTTGCCATTTTTATCTACTGCCTGGGACCGAGACACCCCAGCTCCCACTACCTGAGGCCTGGGGTCCAGGAGATGCCTTGTGACTGAATGGAATGAACTTGATTTTGGGTGATTTGGTCCTGGATGTCTTTATAGAACATTCCTAGGTGTTGGCAATTCTGAAGAGGAGTGTGCCTGCTCTGGAGTAGTTCATATACAGTGGGAGGCTCATTGAGCAGGGGGTACTAGGATAAATTCAGGAAGTGGCCTGGAGGGCAGCATCCTCATTTGCACCCCAGATGTTCAATGTTGCTGTCGGAAAACTTACAACCTGTGTCTTGAGATTACTGCAGGTTCACGGGTCCTCATTGCTAGTTAGATCATCTGTGTTCTTGACAGACAGAGCAGGTATATAACAGGCATGTACCCTAATCCTGATCCTCAGCAGGCATCACTCATCAATTAGGGCCTCTTCTCTGCTGAGCTCTGATGTGTGTTATCAATCTTTACATCCTCCCACTCCAGGTAGCCACTACCAATCAACCACAGCTGGCCCATGCTATGAAATTCATTTAACTTCCGGTCCATGACAGTTCTTGTGGCCAAGCTCTCTTGAATTTGTGGCAAATGTTCTCCTCTTCACATCAAGAATCTCCCATCTTCCTGCCTTTTCTCTGCAGATTACTTCACATTTTACTCTACAGAGTGGAGCTCTTATGAGAAGTCATCAGCTGAGACCTCTCTTGCCTTTTAGCCTGCTGGCCTGCTCCCTCCTTCCCTTTGATTCCAGGGGAGGATGGCCTCCTCTACCGAAGGCCACACCCTCTATCTGAGCTCTGGTCACGTCCCTCCTGCCTCCTTAGGGCCCTGGGACAGTAATTTGTTCCCACTCTCTCTCTCCTGTACTACACTCCCTCTAACTCTAATCTTTTTTTTTTTTTTAATATATTTTTATTGATTTTTTACAGAGAGGAAGAGAGAGGGATAGAGAGTTAGAAACATCAATGAGAGAGAATCATCGATCAGCTGCCTCTTGCATACCCCTTACTGGGGATGTGCCCGCAACCAAGGTACATGCCCTTGACCAGAATCGAACCTGGGATCTTTCAGTCTGCAGGCTGATGCTCTATCCACTGAGCTAAACCGGTTTCGGCGCTAACTCTAGTCTTTCCTGCATGTGTTAAATATGCTCAGTTCTCTCCTATCTGTAGAGAAGGTGGTTGGAATAATATAGTTACCAACTTTTTATTTTGCCAAGTAAGGACTTGAAAAGCCCCATTTGTCTTATATCATCATTCTATTTTCAAAAGAATAGTTAAACTTCAAACACAGTAGGAAAAAAAAAAGATCACCAGACTAAAAGATAAGCCAGCGAATTGCATAAACTTAGCTAATAAAAAGTTCCCCAACTTGTACTTATTTTTCTCAGTTATTTGAAGATCAGAGGAAATCCAAAAACCCACCTAACATCTTCGGGGGCCCTTCAGGGTCAGCTTGTCCTTCTGTAGGATCCTGGCAGTCAGGAATCTGACCTCCCCTCCCCCAGGCTGGCTCACTCCTCCACAGCAGCAGCTTGGTTCCTTCCAGAACAGTGATTTGCACACTCATCACAGCTACCTCCTGAGAGGCAGGGCTTCCATTCAGGCCCCCAGACGTCACCCAGGCCTGCTCCGAGTTTGCACACATGTCTGTCCCCCAATTACCCCTGAACCTGCTGAAGGGTTCTTCTGCTGGCCTCCAGAAGAGGCCAAATAGAAACATCGCAGACATGAGGAGAGTATTCTTTTGTGAGGTGCACCAGCTAAAAAGACAACCTCCCCACAAAATGGCCAGCATTTCTGGGAGTATCCAGGCAAGGGCACCAGCATAGGAGAAATGGCCAGGACCCGTGCCCAAGAGTCCAGGACCCAGAGGTCTGCCTGCACAGCCGTGTGGAAGACACTCTCCTCTTCTGGGCCTTGGTTTTCATCCGGAAAATGTGCATATGAAAACCCATCTTGTGGTGTTACTGTGAAGATCAAAGGCAATGCAATCTAAGAAGATAGACTGATGGCTGACACACAGTAGGGGCTTTATTGTAAGAATCCCTCCACGCTGGCACAGAGTTTTAGCCCGGTGATCTAAAATGAGTGTACTCAACATAATCGCATGAGACAGTTGTATTATCCCTATTTTATAAAGGAGAGTCTGAGGCCCTTGGAGGTGAGATGGCTTTCCCAGGCTCACTTAGGGGACTCTAGTAGAGCCACACTTTACACCCAGGCATCCTGACTCCAAAGCCCTGACCCTTTGCCCCAACTTCCCCTGTGGAGCAGCACAGAGGAGGGGCCAGTCTGCCATCAGCACTGGAAAGGTCTGGATAGGCACTGGTCAAGGTATGGGGAATGGGGGAGAGATAGGCACTGGGTGGGAGGGGCAGGCACCAGTGCCACTACCCACCTCCTTTCTTAGCTTATGTGGCCCCTCCCCACTGCACCGGAGCCCAGAGTCTTCAGGGCCTTCACTGGCTTCTGAGGTGAGCCTGTGGCAGAACCACAGCAGAGGCCCTGCTCAGACACCTGGCAAAGCTGGGCTAGCATTGGGTGGGTGTCTTATAATTGTTTCTGTTTCCCAAGCTATTTCCTGGGACACCCAGTGAAACTGGTTCTGGGAGACCTATGCATGAGCAGACACACATGTGGGGGGTGAATAGGCATATCTCCAGTGGCATAGACCCTCCCTTCCTTCCTTCCGCAGCCTTGGGGGCCCTGTGCCTTCTTTGAGGATGGGGCAGAGGATGGATAACAAGAGTCAGACTGACTTAGGTCCCCAGAGCCCAATGATATGGGAAGGCCCGAGACGGAACCACAGAGATACCCAGACAGAATCCATGGCCTTAAAGAGGCTGCCCCAGAGGTCCTGTGTGTCTGAGGCCACCCATGTGCCTCTCCTCATCCATGTGCTGAGGGCTGCAGAGGAGGGAACACAGGTATAGACATACGAACCCTAGCTTTTGCCCTTCAAGTTTATGGGGTTGAATGGCAGGAGCAGGAGGTGGGGGAAGGCAGACCTCAAACAGTAGACATGTCCCAAAGCGTAATTAGGATTCTTCCAGGTTAGACCAACTGCTCGGCTTGGTCTAACTCAGCCTGACCCAGGCAGACCCTGTGTGGGAAATGGTCCATTGAAGGGAGGGTTGAGAGGGCAGTGGCTGTCAGTGCTTGCCAGGCCTCTTGCTTAATTCTCATGAAACAGGAGGTGAATTTCATCAACCCAAATGGTGGTAACATGAAAAAAATACATGTTTGTCATAGCTCTGAACAAAAGCTGACTAGTAAAGGAGGCAAATGCAATATCCTGTTCCCAACATGGACATCACTGTCATCAGCAGTGCCAGCACAGAGACAGGAAGAAAAATTTTGGAGAAGAAGAGGGATGGGGGAAGAAGTAGGGAGAGACGCTGAGCAAGCCCTGCATCTGGACATTGGGACTTCACTTTGTACAAAGAGGCTGGAGCCCCCAGGAGAAGCATCAAGTTCATGGTCCATATTGGGATAATAAATCTTGTCGTAATTGTCATGATGATGATCATGATAATAGTATCCGCCATTGTGAGTTCTTACTAAATGGCAGGCTATTTAAATGTTGTCACTAATTTCTATAACTCTTCTCCAAGATAGATATTTTAAATTCATCTAATAGTTTTGCTATAACTCATAGAGGAAGACTTGAGCCTCTGAGAAATTACCACCCAGAGGTCATGCAGCCTGGATGGGGTTTGGGCTGAGATTTGTAGGCAGGTCTGGGGCATATCAGAGCCCACCTCTGCCCACTGAGTCACATGGCCCTGGCTCTGCTGGAGGAGGGGGGTCCAAAGCTGGGCTGGGGGTAGTGGGAACTGGCTCAGTTCTGGCTCCCAACATGGCCTCCTGGGACATGAAGGGCCACAAAGACTGTGCTGGCCTTGGCCAGAGCTATCCTCTTTGTTCACGGAGACTATAATGAAAAAAACTCTTGACTAGAAACATGAGAACCACGTTGGGTCCCAGGTCTGCTGAGCACATTGTAGCTTTCCCTGCCCCATTGCGGGCCTCAGCTTTTCCCTTTATGAAGCAGAGGTCAGGAAAGGGTTTAGCAAATCTCCCAGCCCTTAGGAATTCCGCAAATAATCCCTTCCCCATTCTGGTCTAAACCTGCTCCGAAGGCAAAGAAACAGATCTTGTCTTCATTCTCCTGAAGAAGCGCCATGACCCTCTTCCCCATGCGCTCGTTCCGCTTGTAGATGAGCTCCTGGCGGAAGTAGCTGTCGATCTCCTGGGCTGTCACCTGCTCGTGTGGCGGGAGTGTGGTGTTGATAAAGTTGGGCAGCTGCAAAGATAAGACAGAGGCTGCCTTCAGTTCTTTCTGGAGCAAGGTGGGCTTCAAACACACACACAGCCTAAGTGGGCCAGCAACTTACCTTTTGTATGTTCCCCCAGTGGGCTATATGTTTTTCATCAGTTCCAAACCCTTTGAGATGAGTGTGTTTATTCCACTTTTATAAGTGAAGAAAGCAAGAATGGAAAGGTCCAGAGACATGTGCAAAGACACACAGCTAGCAAAGAGGCTGAGCAGGAAGAGAGCCCAGACTGCTGCCCTCACATGTGTACCCTTCTATGTCTCTGCATTGTTGAACCTCAGCTTCCAGGCGTTGAGGTCCTGGGAGGTAGCCAGAGCTCAGCTGCTTCACTGCTCTCCTTTCGGCAGTCTAGCACTGGCACATTCGGGAAATTTTGTTCAGCAAGCATGTGTGGATGGTCAGCTGAGCTGCATGGTACAGCAGAAGGGCCATAGGGTATTGGCTTCAGGCCCTGTTCTGACACTGTGACTTTGGCCAAGTTACTTAACTTTCTGAGTCTCAGTTTCCTCAGTTGTATAATAAGATGGGGCTGACAATATTTTTTTCGGGGTTACATGAGATGATCGCTGCTCCCATGAGCCACATTAAGCCCACTCCATCCTGCAAAGATGAGAGCAGAGGTCCTAACTTGGGTTTTCTCAATGCCTGAGCCTTGTTTCCACCATTATCTCTCCATCCCCAGCCTCACCACTTCCCAGGACATAACCAAACTCCTCCATTCTTCAATTCCAAGACATGGCTTCCTCCATAGTGGTGGCTTGTTTAGCAACCTGGCCTGGAACTATATTGATTTCTCAGCTCTGGACCCACTGTCCACACCCAGCCACATGACCTGGGGCCAATATCACTGACATGTCCTTGAACTAGGCAGAGAACAACTTGAGTTCAGGGGCAGAACCTTTATCAATGCCTGGAACAGAAGAGGCATCCAGAAGAGGGTTCTGGAACTTTGAACATAGAGCTGTGCTATACTTCCTGACCACATGGCCTTCTCCTGCATTCTTCCCTTCCCAGCATGTTGTCTTTCCATTTGGGTGACGGGTCCAGATGTCCTGCACTGTGGTGTGACTTAGAGGAAGCCATGGCCATGGAGGAAAGAGAACAGATCTCATTCCCCACACTTGTCAACGTCCATGCTGTTGCTCACGGCATGTCTTCCTCCTGGTGTCTCTTCTCCATTTCTCTGTCTTCACCAATCCAGGCCTAAAGCACAGGCCATAAAGCCCAGCTGACTGATGGACTAGCTAGATGGAGAATCTGGCACCAGAAGACTAATTTCCTGCAGGTTTTAGCCCCCAGAAGAATCATGTGGCCCAGCCACATGGCTTCTAGAGCCACTGACGAGTTGTCAACACTCTTTCTGAGGAAAATGAAGGCATCAACGGAGGCTGAGCCCCGAGGGACTTGGAGAAGGCCGAACATCTGTCTCTGATATCTGCTGGCCAAGGACCAGTGTGCTCCTCAGGGCGAGAGGGGAAGGGATGCTTTGCCAGAAAGGCCTGGCTTGTTGTTCTAGGCTGAGCAGGACAGGGCTATGGCTAGTGTCTCCTATAGAATTGTAGGTAGGAGCCATGCCAGTGTCTGATAGGCTGGCGCCCACGGGCTTTTGGGCAAATGGATAAATGAAGAAATGGAGTTCTTACTACATCCCCTACTGTGGAAGGGATGATTGGCAGCTCAGACAGTACAGGCCACACTTAGATTTGCTGTAGCCATAAGAAAGGCCACCCTGTAGGCTTCCCCTGGAGGGGAATACAGAGAGCTGGGACCCAGAAGGGTTATTTATGAAAGCATGGCCCTCTCAGGCTCCTCTTCATTCCTTGAACATGGGAAAGAATGTAAGACACTGTTGTACCAACACACAGATATTTGTTCACACTGTGAATGAATGAATGGTTGAATGAGCTTAGAGGCAGTGGAGTTAAGGTGATATGAATATGGGTCCAGAAGTCAGGGCAACTTGGGTTGGATCCCTCTTCTACCACTTTCCAGCTGAGCGGCTCTATAACTAGCAAGTGACTTGGCCTCTATGATACTGGGTTTAGAAATTGGTAACACGAGGGTAATATTTTTATTGTCCACACTCATACACTTTTGAGAGTGAAAGCTCATATATAATTAAGAGTCAGAATAACTACCAGGTGTGGGTCAGGCTGCCCTAACCATGAACCTGGAATGTCTGGGAAAAAACCAAGACATGTTCACTCTGTGAAGTACCTCCTGTGGCTCTCTAACCCCTCGGCACCCTCTCAGACACAGGTCCCACAGTGTTCTCATGGACAAGTCTGACTCCCCACTGGGCTGCAAGCTCCATCCATGGCAGCAGATCCAGTCCGAGGATGATCTATGGCCCCCTAGTTTGATACAGGGTTGTACCAGTGGGAGTTCTCAGAAGAAGTCTGTTGGATGAATGGGGTGAAGAAAAGGGATGAGGCCATTGAGGCCTCTGATGGCATGAAGAGAGCACTCAACTGTCAAACCTGACCCAGTCCTGGTTGTGGGTCAGGGGAGCCCACACTGAGGTCACACCCACAGCCCTAGCCCATCTTCTCACCACCCCATCTCAGACCCATCACTCTAGGGCCCTGGGGACCTGACGTGTCCTCTTTAAAATCTTATCATGTGCCCTGCATTTACATTTGTCACAGAAGATGTAAGGCTGCCAAAAAGTCTAATGACATCATTAATTTGCTCCAGGCTCAAACCCAGACCCACAGGACCCACCCTTGGCATTGAGCAAAGGCCCATCAGCATGAAACAGGCAGAGAATGTTGGCAGCCACTGAGCAGCCCAGGGAACTTGGGTGCCTCACCCAACTCCTTTGCAGCTTTGACATTCAACTTTCTGGTTCTTGTCCTTGTTAAATGTTCTTTAGCTTCCTAAGGAATGAATGGAGATTCACTTTTCCGCACATGCACACTCTTGGTCAGGAAGCAAATAAATCCTTTCTGGTTCTCTGATGGCTCCGAAGGCCATCTCTTCTCATCTCCGTCTCTGCCCCTGCCCTAAGCCACCCTTACTGTGGCCTCTGCCATCACAACTCCATGCCCCAGGTTAGTTGTATGAAGCTGACATTTAGTTGTGACTTCTTCTGTGTCGTGCACTGTGCTATGCATTTTCCAAAACTGATCTTACTCAAACCCTAAAATGACATAGGCATCTCACCCGTCAGAGACAGCTCACAGGAAATCTGAGCTTGCCATCTCCGAAAGCCATGCCATTCCCCCCTCCTTCAGTTTAGTGTCAGCCACAGCCTGGCTAAGCTCTATCCTGTATGCCCCTTCCTCCAGCAGGGCCACATCATGGCCTGGACATCTCAAGTGGTGACCAGGTTGCCTCTGCAACACAGCTCTGTTTGCTCAGGGCTCACCAGCTTCTCCCTAATGGAGAACGCAGGGTAGGGCTCTGACACAAAGCAAATGGCTGGTGGAATGCCTATGAACCTTGTGGTGTGGGAGTTCTCTCCTGCCTCCTTCTCCACTATGATAGAGCTCTCAGAATCTGAGTCTCCTGTGGCCAGATCTCTGGATCCTTTCTCCTTCCTTCTCTCCACCAAACCATGTACAACGTGTGTCTTACTACATTCGTTCATGCAGCAGTTGCTCACTGATACACGCTTGTGCCAAGCCCTGTGCTGGCACTGGGATCGAGAGATGAGCACCACACCCTTGCTCTCAAGAGCTCTCGCTCCAATGGGGTGGTGCATGTGCAGAATGACACAACATAGACCCCGTCTGTACCTCCAATGCAAACTCTCACCCTCTTCCTAGTAGAGCCATGCTTAGCTTCTCGAGGTCCCACCAACTGTCTGCCCAGCCTGTGGGTGGTTTTTTCTCTAGGCTTTAAAACAAGGCAGAACGCTCTGGGTTAGACTTCAGCCCAAGCTTTGAGTATGATTAACTGTGGGCTTTCTCTCCCTGGGTTTTAATTTCACTAGATGCTGAGCTGGACACTCTGTTCTTCCAGGCTAAGCTTCTTGGGCATACACACATCAGGCTCAAATACTGCTCTTCATAAATTGATAACCCAACAAATAATGAGTGGTGTGGCCTTGGACAAGTCTCTTCCCATATCTGAGCCTCAGTTTTCCCATCTGTAGAATGAATATCCCAACAGCTCCTGCTTACCATGGTTGGAAAGAAGATTGTGTTTGGCACACAATAGGCATCTAATAAATGCCAGGTGGGTTCCCATAGGTCTGGCCTTGAGAACTAGTGATGCAGGGGCTGTCCAGGCTGGAGGAGAGGAGCCTCACCTGTGACGTGTCATGGTTGAAGATGACAGCATTGAGGTCCCCGCAGTTGTAGTGCTTGATGAGGTCCTCCGTGGTGTAGGGCGCCTGCAGGCTCCCGGCCCGTACGCTCTCGTGCTGCAGCAGGGTCTGGTTCAGGGCAAACAGCACCTGCGCAGAGGGAAGAAAGAGAAATAAGCGCTGTGCTCAGGGACCTGGCTGAGGTCCCCGACACCTCCAGGACTGGTGGTCCTCCCTCTGGACCTTGGGGCAACAGGCACTGAAACAGAGAAGGTGTGTGGGGCCAGCACCAGCTGGCGTAGTCTGAGCGTTTCCACATTTCCCACTCCTTACTCACCGACCTCTGAACACGTGCAGCCTGTTCCCATCCCCAGCCCTCTGCCCACACTGTCTCCACTCCTGTGAAGAGTATTAACATAGTTTTTTTTTATGGTTTTTAAAACTTGATTCTAGAGAGAGGGGAAGGGAAAGTGAGAGGGAGGGAGAGAGGGAGGAGGGAGGGACACACACACACACACACACACACACACACACACAAACACACACACTTGCCACCTCCTGCATGCCCCCCACCAAGATTTAGCTGCCCGCAACCTGGGCATGTGCCCTGATCAGGAATCAAACTGGCGACCTCTCAATACATGGGACGATGTTCAACCAACTGCGCCACACTGACCAGGGCTGAGTATTAATATTTTATCTAAAGACTAGAGGCCCGGTGCATGAGATTTGTGTACAGGGAGGGTGTGTCCCTCAGCCCAGCCTGCACCCTAACCAATCTGGGTCCCCTAGAGGGATGTCCAACTGCCCATTTAGGCCTGATCCTGGTCAGACATCCCTCTCACAATCCAGAACTGCTGTCTTCCATCTGCTTGCCTGTCTGCCTTCCTGATTGCCCCTAACCACTTCTTCCTGCCAGCCTGATTAATGCTTACCGTATTTTCCGGCGTATAAGACGACCCCCTAATTTTTACAGTTAAAACATAGGTTTAGGTCTATATTCGCTATATAAGACTACCCCCCACTTCCGAGGCAACACCAGTTCTTTTTTTAATAGACCGCCTCTCTGACTCTGGCCAATATGAGCAGGCTTTTTACTAGAACACAGTGTAGCTTCGGGTACAGAACATGTATTATATAATTTGCATGCATAAAAAGCCTGCTTGGATTGGCTGAGTTAGAGAGGCGGTCCGAGCAGCCTTGCAGTGATTGGTGCAGGATCGAGTTGGAAAATTCGTTTAGGGGCATATCGAGACATTTTTTGGGATATACTCGGCGTATAAGACGACCCCCGATTTTCGGTTGACTTTTTTTTCGTTTCAAAAGTCATCTTATATGCCAGAAAATACGGTAATTGTTCCCTTGCCAGCCTGATTGCCCCTAACTGCCCTCTCCTGCAGGCCTGGTCCCCCCCAACTGCTTTCCCCTGCAGGCCTGGATTACGCCCCTAACTGCCCTTCCCTGCATGCCCAGTCGCCCGCAATTTCCCTCCTCTGCCAGCCTGGTCACCCTTATCTGCCCTCCCCTGAAGGTTTGATTGCCTCCAACTGCTCTCCCTTGCAGGCCTGATCCTTCCCAACTGCTCTCCCCTGCTGGCCTGATTGCCCACAATTTCCCTCCCTTGCAGACCTGGTGTCCCTTGCAACTGCCCTCCACTGCTGGCCATCTTGTGGCGGCCATCTTTTGTCCACATGGGAGCATCGATCTTGTGTGTTGGAGTAATGGTCAATTTGCATATTACTCTTTTATTAGCCTGGTGCACGGGTGCGAGCCTGCTGGTTTGCCCTGAAGAGTATCCTGGATCAGGGTAGTGGTTCCCTTGGGGTGTGGGGTGGCCTGGGAGAGGAGCCTGTGGTGGATTGCAGGCCAGCCACACCCCATAGAGACCAAAAACGGAGGCCCTGGTATCTGGGATTTATTTATCTTCTATAATTGAAACTTTGTAGCTTTGAATGGAGGCCAGAGCAGGCCAGGGCAGGTGGAAAGCTTGGCTTCCTTCATCGCCTGGGGCAACCCAAGCCTCCTGCTCTCTCCAGCTCCATGGCTGCCACCATTTTTGTTGGGATTTATTTATCTTCTATAATTGAAACTTTGTAGCCTTGAGTGGAGTCCATGGCCAGCCAGGGTGAGTGTGAAGTTTGGTTTCCTCCATTGCTGGGGAAAACCAATCCTCCTGCTTGCTCTGGGGCTGTAGGCACTTTGGTTAGGTTAATTTGCATACTTGCTCCTGATTGGCTGGTAGCATGGCTTGTGGGTGTATCAGAGGTACAGTCAATTTGCATATTATTCTTTTATTAGATAGGATGTGACAAAATAAAAACCTTAATTTTGTCTAGAATTTGGAATGATGGGCAAGTTTTCCTTTGTGTTCTTCTTTTCCTGTGTTTAGGAATGTTCTAGAATGAGCACAAACTCACTTTGTAATTGGGAGCACCCCCAAACAAAGCAAACAAACAAATGACCCAAAGAAGCTTAGATGTCAAGCCCTTACCCAAATGCCACCCATTCCAGAAGCCATCCTCACCAGGAAAGGCCTAGGAACTGGGCCCCCAGGGCTGACCCATGCCCCCAGGTCAGACACATTCACACATGTTTCCTCAAGAGCCTCTATGCTGGGCCCTGGGGACACTGCTGTCACCCAGGCAGACCTGACAGGCATCAGGACCACTTGGAATGCTCCAGACTGTCAGATGCCCAGCTCCCATCCATGGAATTGGAATATAAGGTGGAGCCAGAATGTGAGTCTTAACAGGCTCCCTGGAACTTCTTCACAGCCCAATGGCTCCTGGTGTTTGAAGACCACGGATCTAACGTAACGTGAATCACATGAGGTCTGAAAGCCCTGAGACATGATCTTCAAGGTCCCCTTTTAGATGGGAAATGGAGCCTGTGAGGGGAAGGGACTTGCTCAGTTTCACACAATGACTGTATGCCAGTCTCCCTTGGCCAACCAATAGGAGGAGCTGGACATTGAGTTATTTAGCACAGATATGGGGGAAAACTTGTTGCAAGTCCTGTGCAAAACATTTGGAGGTGGTCTTGGGCTACCTGGCTTGTTAGTTCTCAGGCTCTGCTTATTCTGTTTGTACACTGTGTTGGAAGACAGTCACCCAGCCTCTTGATTCACACCAATTCAGGCCCAGGCATCTCTCACTGTGTCCACTGCTCTATGCTGTCCCTACAGACCCCTCCCATCCCACCTAGCCCATATTCTTCTGCCAATGCCATCTTTTAAAAACACAAATCTGATGGTCTCCTCTTTTTTTCTCAAAACTTTCCTGGGTGTCTCCTGCCCTTACATAAAGGCCTAGTTCTTCAAGAAAGTATGCAAGGCAGTGACCTGGACCCTGCTGTGGTCAATAACCATGTTTCTGACCCAGCCCTTGTGTCCTCAAGTGCTCAACTATGTAGCCATCTCTGTGCCTTGTACATGCTATTTCCTGTGCATTCCATCTCCATTCTCCACTTACAAATTTAGACTTGGCCATATAGGCTCAGCTCAGATATCTCCTCCACTAAACTTTTCTGAGCCCTCCATGGGACTCCCAAGGTCTCCTAGTATTCATGCCCTTTTCCCTGGAAGTCAGTAGCTCCCTCCCATTCTGATTCTGGGATGTTACTAACTAGTTCAAGTAGTGGCCTGAAAAGCTCTAATGTGCTTCTTCTGCCCCTTGCATCACCACTATTGCCCCAAAGGCACCCAAGCTAGCCTGCCAGGGGATGAGACATGGAAGGCAGAGCCACATTGCTTCAGTTGTCAAACCAAGACCATTCTCACTAGCCAACAGCCATCCAGCTTCCAGATATGCAAGCAAGCCCAGCAGAGCCCACTTGCAATTGGGCTCAGATAGCTGAGCAAACGCTCATCGCCATTGCCACATAGCACATTTGTGGCGACACTTCCCTCCGTGTTTCCCTCCAGTACAGTGTGTACATTAGAGTGTAATGCCTTCTCTCCCAATAGGTTATGAGCTTCTTGAAGACAGGAAGTGCTCCTTACTCATTTTATATTTGTAATACTCAGCATGGGACCTGGGAAAGACAGCATGCTACCCCACCCTTTCCTTAGCACTTTGATAGCTGCTCTGGTCACTTCATAGTTCAAGGCTGCTTGACAATCCCTCAGACTAGCCCTTAGAATGTTGGCACCCTGTCTGCATTTGGGGCACACCACGACCACACGGCATAAGTTCCCACCAAGTGGTGTTACTGCATGGTTCCAGACAAAAAAGCTCATGCCATAGGTACACAAAATCTGCTCCAAATACTGTCATGGGCAATGGGACCAAAATGTGCTTGTTAGATCACCTCCACCCATCTCCTCCCACATTTATTTCTGGCGGTGAGAGAGCTGGATTGAGCTTGGACGCAGCAGTCCAGACTGCTCCCCCTAATGAGCTGGCTGGAGATGAGGTCAGACCCCACCACCCTACCTCTGGGCCTTCTCCAGGCTCTGGCCACTACCCCTGAAATCCGATCTGCGGCCACCTGGTGCAGGGTGTTGATGGCAGCATGGTGGCTGGGGATGGATCACAGGAGGCAGTGGACCTGTTGCTGAGGACATTGCTAAGGCAACAGGCACTTCCTCCCACATGGCACATGCCTTGGATGAAAGCATCCGTGTCAAGCTGGAACGCTCTGCTTTCCTCCTCTGGCGGCTGAGACACACAGACCTCCTGTGACCACACCCTGTTGCTGCACACACCTGCCCAGTGCTTCTCAGGGCAGGCCTGGCCCTGCACCTCTTGGCGTGTGATGAGGTCATCAGCTCAGGCACCCAGAAGACATGCCTGGAGGAGAAATGGCTCCCTTGGACCTTCTCAGCCACACGAAGTCATTTCCTCAGTCACGCGGCCCTCATGGAGCCTGGAGGTACTCTAGTGAATGAAGCACTTACAATCTGCAGGGTGCTAGGAACAATTCTGGCAGTAGAGAGTGCTGGCTAAATGACACTTGGAAAAACATAGTTAGTCCTTAACTTTTCTTGATTGGAGCTGGATGGGACCTTGGGCGTCATCAGGTCCAGTGATTTTCCAAACCTTTTTTAGCCATGGGATCCCTTCTTTGTTGTTACTGTTTTCCAGAGGAGTCTTACTTGGAATTCAAAATGTGAAGCAGATAAAAATATTTTAGAAACTTCCCTGATTGAC